CTATATGCCTAGTCTTATGCCAGTATCAGGCTGTTTTACTTACTATGGCTTTGTAGTATAGTTTGATATTAGATAGGGTGATACCTCCAACTTTGTACTTTCTCAAGATTGCTGAGGCTATTCAAGGTCTTTGTGATTTCATATCAATTTTTGGAGTATTTGTTCTAGATCTGTAAGTTATGCCATTGGTGTTTTAATAGGAATTGTGTTGAATCTATAGATTGCTTTAGGTAGCCTGGACATTTTAATGATGTTAATTTTTCCTATCCATGAACACAGTAAATGTTTCCACTTATTTGTATCTTCCTCAGTTTGTCTTCAGGATCCTATAATTTTCAGACTGCAGGTTTTTTACCTTCTTGATTAAATTTATTACTAGGTACCTTATCTTTTTTGTTGTAATAGTAAATGGGATTTTTTTTTAATTTCTTTTTCTGATAGTTTATTATTGGTGTGTAAAAATGCCACTGATTTCTGAATATTAATTTTGTATCTTGCTACTTTACCGAATTCATTTATCAGTTCTAGTAGTTTTTGGTTGAGTGTTTAGGGGTTTCCATATACAGTATCATGTGTTCACCAAATAATGACAGTTATACTTCCTTCTTTCCAATTTGGATGCCTTTTATTTCTTCTTCTCATCTGATTGCTTGGATACAACTTCCAGCACTATGTTGAATAAATGGTGAAAGTGGACATCCCTGTCTTCTTCCCGATCTTAAGGGAAACGCTTTTGGTTTTTGTCCATGGAGTATAATGCTGGCTGTAGGTTTGTCATATATGGCCTTGATTATGTTGAGATATGATACCTCTCTTCCCACTTTGCTGAGAGTTTTTATCAGAAATGGGTGCTGGATGATTCCTGGCCCCGATTGGGGCTCATGCAGGGGGCAACCAAATGATGTCTCTCTCTCATATCAATATTTCAATCTCTCTCTCCTCCCTCCCACCTCTCTCTCCTCCTCTCTTCTCTCCCCCTCCCTCCCCCTTCCCTTCCATTTTGTCTGAAATGCAATGGAAAAAATATCCTCTGGTGAGGATTAGAAGAAAAAGAAAAAAAAAGATAAATGGGTGCTGGACTTTATCAAATGCTTTTTCTGCATCTATTGACATGATCATCTGATTTTTGTCCTTCATTTTGTTTATGTGATGTATCACATTTATTGATTTGCGGATGTTATACCAGCCTTCCATCCCCAGAATAAATCCCACTTGATCGTGGTGTATGATCTTTTTAATGTATTGCTGGATCCATTTTGCATATATTTTGTTGAGGATTTTAGCATCTATATTCATCAGGGATAGTGGCATATAATTTTCTTTCTTTGTAGTGTCCTTATCTGATTTTGGAATTAGGATGATGCTAGCCTCATAAAAGGATCTTGGGAGTCTTCCCTCCTCTTGAATTTTTTGAAATAGTTAGAGAAGGATAGGTGTTAGTTCTTTGACTGTTTGGTAAAATTTGCCTGTAAAGCCATCTAGTCAAGGACTTTTGTTGGCTGGGAGTTTTTTTTATTACTGCTTCCATTTCATTAGTTGTAACTGGTCTATTTAGATTTTTCTGATCCTTCCAGATTCAGTTTTGGGAAATTGTGTGTTTCTAGAAATTAATCTTCTTTCCTCAGTTTGTCCAATTTGTTAGCATATACTTGTTCATAATATTGCTTACAATCCTTTGTATTTTGTGGTGTGTCTGGGAGATTTCTGACTGCCAGTTTAATCTCCTTACTAGCAATTAATCTGTTCATATTTTCTTTCTTCCTGATTTAGTCTTGGTAAATTGTATGTTTCTAATCTTTATTTCTTTCCTTTGCCTAACTTTGAGGTCAGTTTTTCCCCCCTTCTGATTATTTAAAGGTTATACTTAGGTTGTTTATGTTAGATCTTTTCTGTTTATTAATGTAGGTTTTAATTGCTATGAACTTACATTTTAGAATTTCTTTTGCTGCATTATAGAACTTCTTTTGCTCCCATTATATTTGTATGATATGTTTCCATTTTGTTTATCGCAAAGTATTTTTTATTTCCTCTTTAAATTTTTCTTTAATCTGCTCATTGTTAATTTCCATGTATTTGTGAGTTTTCTAGTTTTCCGTATGTTGTTTATTTCTAGTTTTAGAGCATAGTGGTCAGAGAAGATATTTGGCATGATTTTAAAGCTCTTGAATTTTCTAAGCCTTGTTTTGTAGTCTAACACATAGTCTATACTGGAAAATGTTCCATGTGCACTTGAAAAGAATGGGTATTCTGCTATTTTTAGAGATAATGTTCTGAAATTGTCTCTGGTTCTTTTGGTCTGTAGTGTTTAAACAGGCTTTGGCAGCATCCCATAGAATTTTGTATATTGTGTTTTATTTTTATTTATGTTGAGACCATTTTTATTTCCCTTTTAATTCCTTCTTTGATACATTCGTTGTTCACAAGTGTGTTATTTAGTTTCTACATATCTGTAAATTTTCCCAGCTTTCTTCATGTTCTTGATTTCTAGCTTCATACCATTGTGGTCAGAAAAGATAATTATTATTTCAATCTTCTTAAATTTGCTAAGACCTGTTTTGTGTCTTATCATATGATCTATCCCAGAAAATGCCCCATGTGCACTTGAGAAGAATGTGTACTCTGCTGCTATTGGATGGAATGTATTATGTATGTCTGTTAAATGCATTTGATATAGACTATGGTTCAATTCCAATGTACCAGGGAGGTTACTATTGCTGCTGCCAAAAGTCTCACCACTTGTAGTGACACCCTGGGGAGGGGAAATGTCTTGGCAAATTCCTCCCTCTCCTCAGTTTCCTAACTTGTCTCTATCTGTCTCCAATGTCATGCTGGAATCTCCCTTCAGGCAGGCTGGCCTTACATGAATAATCTCACTCATGGGTATCTGTCCAGTTTTGCACTCTCCAGGTGTCTTCTTCCCAACGCCTGAGAGTGAGGATGTGACAACTTTGCTGACTTTCTTGGATCTGCAGGCCCCACCTAGGTTCCATTTGTTGTTTTTGAATGCACTCAGGATGCTGGAAACCTCTTGGGTCCCTTGGCGTAATGTGCAGAGGCACTTCCGTTCAGATATGGATGTCAAATTAGTTTTAAAAGTAGAGAAAAAGAGCAATGACTTATGCTGCCATAATGCTGATGTCACTCATAGCCTTCATTTTTGAAGTACAGTTTTGCCATACATTTTCTTATTGATTCACAATTATTTATTTTAGCTTTTTTAAAAATAATTTTTTTATTAATTTCAGAGAGAGGAAGGGAGAGAAAGATAGAAACATCAGTGATGAGAGAGTCATTGATCCGCTGCCTCCTGCACACTCCTCACTGGGGATCGAGCCCGCAACCCGGGCATGTGCCCTGACCGGGAATTGGACCGCGATCTTCTGGATCATTGGTCGCTCAACCGCTGAGCCACGCCGGTCAGGCTTTCTTTTAGCTTTTTAGGATTTCTGCTAAGAAAACCACTGATCCCTATAAAGGCTCTCTTGTATATGATATGCCACTTTTTTCTTGCTGCCTTCAGGATTCTTTTTTTTGTGTTTGATTTTCAAGAGTTTGATAAAATGTAACTCACTATGGGATTCTTTGAGTTTATACTAATTAGAGTTTGTTGAACCTCTTGTATTTGTGTATCCATTTCTTTTTCCAAATTTGGGAAGTTTTTAGCCATTATTTCTTCAAATAATGTCTCTGTCCCCTTTTCACTCTCTTTTCCTAGTATTCCTATAATGTATATATTATTTCACTTGATGGCATCTTATGAATCCCTTGGTCTCTCTTCACATTTTTTTATTATTTCTTTTTGCTCCTCAGACCCAGTGATTTCAAATGATCTGTCTTCAAGTTTGTTTTGTTGATTTATTACTCAGTTTCAGTCTTCTGTGGAACCCTTTTAGTGAATTTTTCAGTTTGTTTATTGTGTTTTTTAATTCCAGAATTTGTGGTTGTTTCTTTATTTTAATTTATATCTGTGTATTTATATTGTAGTTTTGTTCATATCACTTTCCTGACTTTTGTTTGTTTGTCCATGATGTCCTTTAACCCACTGAACATTTTTAATACAGTTATTTTAAAGTCTTTGTCAAGTAAGCCAGAGATCTGTGTTTCTTTAGGGGTTGGTATCTAGAAATTTATTTTGTTCCTTTGAATGGGCTGTGTTTCCTTGTTTCTTTGTATGCCTTGTTATCTTTTTTTTTTTTTAAATGAGTATTTAAAATAATATCTACCTCTCCTTGTCTTTGTGGACTGGCTTTGTGCAGAGGAAGTCCTCTACTGATTAACCTGGCCTAAAGATTTAATGTTCTCTCAAAACTTTTGGAGATGGGTCCTTTTTGGGCCTGCACATTTTTAAATTCCAGTTCCTCTGTACATATGACTACTTTTTAATGTCTTTATTTCCCTAAATGTCTCATTCTTGCTTCTTCTCAAGCCCTTAGTTATTTTATATTATTGCTCTGCCTGTAATATCTTATACCTAGACACCCACAGGCCTGCAGTGACCCTGCAACTCTTATGCCACAGCTCCAACCACTGCTTTTGACAGCTTCCAACATGATATACAAACTATGCCTCTATTCCCATCAGTGCTCCCGTCCAGGCAAAAGATAAACTGGTTGACCCAGGCTGCCCCTATACTAACCAGAACACTGCAAGCAAATTCCACTCTTTTCATTCAGTCTCAAAGTAGAAGTTAGTAGTTGGGTGGGTTCTTCCCTGTCTTTCTGCACTGTGCCAAGAACGGGATGGGGCAAGAATGTGCAAAGGTACCATGAGATTTGAGCATTTTGAGTGCAGCTTTCATTTTTTGGTCATTTGTTTTATTGCTGCAGTTTCTTAACTGGCCTCCAGAGATCTCACAGAGCTACTTTGGTCTGTATATTGGTGTTTCCATGAAGAAATGAGGACCTAAAACTTCCTTGTCAACCATCTTGCTTACATCACACTCCAGTGATATCTCTTTTTCCTAAACATGTTTGTCTATTGTTTTATCTTGATTTTTTTAGGTTGTGGATAACCTGGAAAATATGCTAGGAGCTTCAGTTCAACATGTTAAACTGAAGCAAATGAAGTATTCTTTTCAGTTATGGGTCACAATGATGTCAGAAAAGGGACATGATGGGACGGTATGTTCACTACTTTCCTTCCTTTCTTCTTTTTTTATAAATATTTATTGACCATATTAACATGTGGGCCATATGTTATAGATATGGAGAAATGAAATTCATAAGCAAATAGGTGACATAGTTAAATAATGAAAGATTATGCAGTTCGGTGAGTGCTACACTGGTATAAGCATATATGGTTGTAGGATCAGAAAGGGCAATCCCATCTATATGTGGAAGTCAGGGAAAGCTTCCTGGTGGAGGAGTTTCTATCCACCAATACTTGAATGTTTTGAAGTCCTTAACCAGTAAAGAAGTGATAAAAGGTGTTTCAAGCAGAGGTAACATTGTGGGCAAAGGCACGGGGCATGAGATTTATTCCATTATAGAGTGTGCTGGCTATCAGAGCATTTAGGCTTCAATAAAGCATAAAGTGATTAGATAACCCCAGTTGTCAAGATCCCACTTTGCCTCCCCCATCAGAGGTTTTTAAGGATGTGCACACAGTTATCTGCTTTTCTACCGTGTAATTTCAGCCTCCTGTTATTTGCTAAGTTTGGAAACTGATCTGGGTACTTGTGAAAGATGCTTTACTTATGATTTCTTCAGATTTATTGAAAAATTTAAATATGAATTCTTCAAGAGTAATAAGCTAAAGTCAACATTATGAAAAAATAGGAAAATTATTTTCAAGTCTTTGAACTTTTGTACATATGCTGGCCATTAGGAGTGTGACAGACTCAAATTCAAATCACAAGTCACTTTTTAGCTCTGTTTTCTTTTTGGTGGGGGAGTTCTTAATCTCTTCTTTACTCACCTGTGAAATGAAAGTATTATACCTGTGTTACAAGATTATTTTCTGTATTAAGAATATTTCTGGTAAAGTTTCTGACATTTAGTAACCCTTCAATAAGGGAGCACTTTCACGATCCCTTTCTACCTTAAGGAAAATAAATTATCAGTCACTATACTTGTGTTTCAGAAACAAATAAATTGTTTCTTTTATATAAGCACCTTGGAAATCTCTCAGAATAGGAAGTTCATGTAAATCCTCAAGCTTGGATGTTTGACTGACATGTAGGTTCGCAGAGTACGAACAAAACTAAGGCAAAGATCAGTAACAAAAATTTTATTCTGAGTTCACTTGCAGGAGATACTCTCTCATAACTCGGAGAAACTTATAACGTAGGTGCTGATTGTTAAAGTTGATCCTGATATTAAAAACCTGACATAAGACAAAAGGGCAAAAAACTGGTCTGCTCTCACCTCTGACTCAGAGCTGGTGTTCATAAGCACTCTACCGTGTTGCTCAGTAATGGCCCATCTCTTATGAGCAGGTGCGTTATATGGTTGATACTTGAAGCTTTTACTGTGGAAAAAGGATGTGGTCGTTTTCTCAACCATACTTGTTTATGGCCATTTTACCACTTTATTATAAGAGGTTTATTGAGTTACAATGTATACACCATGTAAAGCACTCTTTTAAAGCATACAATTAAATGATTTTTAAAACATATGCAGAATTGTGCAACTACCACTACAGTCAATTTTAGAACATTTTCATCACCATAAAAAGAGACTCATGCTCATTATCAGTCACCCCCTCCAAAATCCTCACTGCCCTATCCACAGCCTTAAGCAAAAACTAATCTACTTTCTGTATGTATAGATTTCCTTACCCTGGACATTTCGAATAAATGGAATCATACATTGTGTGGTGTTTTGTAACTGGCTTCTTTCACTTAGCGTAATGTTTTTTACATTTTATCCATGTTGTACCTTGTATCAGTACCTTATTTCTTTTATGGCTGGATAATATTCTGTTGAATTAATGCCTTTTGTTTCCCTATTCATCAACTGATTGGTATGTGGCTATTTTTCCTAGTGCTGCTATGACCATTCCTATTCATATTTTTTGTCTTAGCCATACTTTTTTTGAGAGAATACTTGCATTTCCTGTTTTAGCACTTTGATATGTTTATTTTCACATTTACATTTTAATCTCTTCCTTTCCCCATTCTTTTTTTTAATTAAATGTATTGGGGTGAATTGGTTAATAAAGTTTTCTTCACTGTCAGGAACCTGTGAAATTTGTGGATCTGCTTAGTGACCATGGGAAACCTATCAACCCTCTGTGGGAATTGATGAAATGGTGCTTAGGCCTATCAGTGCACACCATCCCAGCCATTGGTATGTAAATCATCTTTTCTCCAGTTTGATATCTTTAGGGGAGAGGAGAACATCTTACCACATCACAACACTGAGGAAAGCTGAAATATATGAATAATGAATTAGTATCCATCATCTGCTAACATATCACTATGTGCCAAGCACTGTCCTGTGCATTTTATCCTATTGATTTGTAATGTATCTATTATAATGCCCATTTTAGGTTGAGAAACTTTAATTCATAAAGGTTAGATGGCTACTAAATTAAGGAGTACTCTTCAAATGTTTGCCTTACAAATTCAAATGCCTAAGATGCTTTTTCTGTATCATGTATTGTTTTTAAATATCTAAATGGAAATTTTGGACAATATATTTGACTTTGGGGAAAGGCCTATTCAGTAATATTTAGGTGAATTAACCTATCAAATGTTAATTATTGGTCATATACAGTAGTTGAAGCAGCTCACCAAAGAAATTAGTGCAGCTATGCTCACTTGATGCAGAGTTGGTGATTGTTGTTATTGTAAACAAATGCTCATTGAGTACCTACTGCCAAATATTAGATTTTTGGTATCTTTTCATGTGTTATCCCTTTATTTATTTTGTTTTTGAAGATCTAACTGGCTTTATTAAACAATTCATGAATTGGGTAGCACCTCATTCAGCAAGCAGAGAGATACTCTGAGGAGTTATACAAAATGGGAGGCTTTTTTAAAAAAATCAAAGTTTTTAAAATTTATCTTTATTGTTGAAAGAATTACTGGTGTCCCCTTTTTTTCTCTATTGACCCCCTCTACCCCACCCCCGTTCTCCCCCAGTCCCTCACCACATTATTATCTGTGTCCATGGGTTATGCATATGTGCATGTAAGTTTTTTAGTTAATATCTCCCCCCTCTCCCCACCTTCCCACCCCCCTTCCCTCTGAGATTCATCATTCAGTCGCTTATATTGTCAGTGATTCATCTTTATTATCTATAAAATGGAATTAATAAAAGTATATATTACCTACATAACTGAGTGGATTAAACAATATGTACTTCCTGGCATTGTTTTGCTAGTTAAATGAGATTATGAATCTAGAATATGTGAGATACAGCCTAATCATGTATATACTGGCAATTTCAAGCTTATAAAGATGAAGCCACAAATCTTGGAACATCATAAAGACTCAATAAATAGGAACTCTTTTTATCTTTGTCGTTATTATTACATAGCTCTACTAATGAGGTCTCTATCATCAGAAATTGCTCTATTTTTGGAAAAAGGCCCTAATATTCTGATATCATCAGGAAAATAATTTTAAGGACAATGAGCACTCAAAGTACTCACTTGCCAAATATTAGTCAGAGTTACTTTTCTTCAAAAGAATCTTGACAGTATTCTAGTCACCGATGCCCTCTTTCTTGTGCATAGCCATGAAAATTCAAGGACAGTGGTATACTGATATCAAGTCTCTAAGGAACTCTTGTGTTGTCTTATGCCAGCTCAATTCATGCAAAAGAAATCATATTTTTTCATCCTAGGTAATGTCAGGGGCTTAGCTGAGCTGTCCTGTGTTGAGATAGCTAATTAAAGCAACACGTCAAAATAAAAGTAACAGTGAAGCCTTTAGTTGCAGTTGATAGTATAAGCAAGAGGCTAAACTGGAAAAACAACAACTCCTCCCTTTCCCATTTCCCCTATAAAAATTTGCACTAGTCAAGGGTCAAATGGATCAGCACAAGTGTGGAGATTTTTCTCACTGTTAAAGGAGCCCTGAACAAAAGGCTCCAGCAGTTTTACAGATCATGAGGTCAGGAACAAGATGAAGACTATGAGAGAGACTACGAGTGGAAAAGTCCTGAGTAGTAAGTCGGAGTGGGGAAAAATGTCTTCAAGGTTTCCTCTACCTTTCCCATAAAGAGGCCTCAGCAGAGACACCTGAAGAAGACTTCTGCCAAAGGCCTCAGATAAAGAGATCTAGGTGCCTTGGCTAAGAATGCAAATATGCACAAGAACATCACAGGCTAGAGGAGCTTTAGTCCTTGACTGCAACAGCCTATAGACATTTCACTGCGTTGTCTGTACACCATATCTGGCTTGCAGAGAGGAGCTTTCCCCCTTGAGTATTTCCGGATAAATCTTTTTTAATTGCTAATGGTCATACCTGAAAAATCACACAGGGATTTTGGCCACAAGCTAGACTCTTTAGATAAAAATATTCCAAACCATACCCGGCCAGCATGGCTCAGTGGTTGAGCATCGGCCTATGATCCAGGAGATCACAGTTTGATTCCCTGTCAGGGCACAGGCCCGGGTTGCGGGCTCCATCCCCAGCAGGGAGCATGCAGGAGGCAGCCGATCAATGACTGTCTCATCATTGATGTTTCTACCTCTCTCTCTCCCTCCCTTCCTCTCTCTGAAATCAGTAAAGACATAATTAAAAATATATATTCTAAACCATAGTAAAAAAATTGTTCATAGAGATGTGCATTGCAGCATGGTTTATAATAACAAAAAATTATAAGGATCCTAAATGTTTAACAGAGGAATAGGTAGTGAATTATGATTCATATATAGGATGAAGTTGTATGCAGGCACTTACAGCCAAGTTTATAAAGCTATGTTGATAATGTGTATTTATGTATGTTAATGAGTGGAAAATTTTACATGCAGTTGCATAGAAAAGTACATGAACTAAGTGTACTAACATATTCACAATTATTTTCCCTGGGTACTGTATTTCTTGGCAAGTTGTTTATTCTACTTTAATCTTTTTAATTTTTTCTTATTTTTTATTAGACTTATGTTTCTTTCATAATAGGAACAAAAACTTATTTTAAAAAGAAGTAAACTATTTTAAAATAAATTAATATTAAATACTAAATATTATTTATTAAGCACTTATGATGTATACTTAACTAATGTGAAAATATGTATACATATGTATGTATTAAAAATCTTTTCATAAAATATAATTTAAAACTTGAAGATATATTAAATAGAATGCTCTAAAACTGTAATTCCATTATAAAGTTTTTCTAAGAGTTGCATGCATGATGTTTGTTGCAGCATTTAAATTTTGGAAAAAGTTTATATGCCCAACAATCATGGGCTAGTTAAAGAAAAACCTATGATACATTTCTACAATTAAAATATTATATAGTCATAAAAATCCTTACGATGTAACATTCTGTTGGAGAAGCTGGGACGTTGATATATAGCATCACCAAAAAAGACCAGGAGTTAATATTAAATGGTCAGCAGTGTTCATGTATGGGTGGCCAGGTTACAAGGTTTCTTTTTTATCACTTTTTAACTTTCTCAATGTTCTAGAATATGAAAAGATAAACTAAAGAAGGCTAGGATTTAAAATGAAGTTTCATACTTTAACTTGTTATATGTAATCATTCTGTAGGACTGGCCTTGTTGGAAGAAAAGCTGAAGTACAGCAGTGAGAAATACAAAAGGTACAAGGCGATGGCAGAGAGCCTGCATAAAGAACTGGTGGAGATGCTGGCTGATGATGGTATCTTCTTATATCCCTCCCATCCCACAGTGGCTCCCAAGCATCACGTTCCTCTGACAAGGCCTTTCAACTTTGCTTACACAGGTACCTAACTCTACTCCTTTACAATCTTTAATCTTAAAGGAATAGAGATATTTTCCAAGAGAAGTGTACTTTCCTTTTGCTGTTGGACAAGTTTTATACATGCATGTCCAAAAATGATGTTCAATTAAAAACAAATTGCAGAAAACAGTTGCTATTGTCATATGTGGAAGATAATTTCCTTAATACCTGCATTCTCCCCAAGAACCCTGCAAGTGAGTATGAGTATCATGTTTTACAGCACCGAGCTTCAGGGAGGTTCAGTGACTTGTCTCCAGTAACACCGCATGAACCGACTGAAGCCAAAGGCTGCCTTGGCTCTTCTGATAAATGGTAAAGCCAAGTCAGCTGTTTTCCCAGGATTTGTGGCTTCCCAGAAAATGCTAGTACAAAATATAATTCTCCAAGTTGATCATCTATTTGCCTAGCTATTATCACGTCTGAGTTTGATTCATTCTAGTATTCACCCAATTAATTTATTTCAGTTTCAACTGGTTTGGGAGCTGTGTCTGTACTGTGGTTATGTGAGATCTAAAGGCCCCTGGAAATGTACCGGGTCAGTTTCTATGGTTTCTATAAGGTCTCTTCCAGGGAACCACACTATATGCTTCCCTACTCTAGAAACCTATGGTCCACTTTAACTTGGAATTTGGAGATTGGTTTCTTTGAGTTCAAATACTTGACTCTTATTAGTTTCTACCTGTGTTTCCTGGTGCAAGACATTGAATGTTTCTGAATCTATTTCCTCCTCTAGGAATTCAGGGTAATTGCACTGTTGCTGTCAAGAGTAAATTATATAATGCATGTAAAGTACTTGGCATAGGGTTGTGGAGGATGAGGGGGAGAGGGTATCAAATAACAGTTTATATCCTTCATTTACTCATCTTTACTCTTAATTCTTGGCTTTGGTCACTCACTTCCAATTCCTTGAATCTTTGAAGTAACTTTCTGCCTAAATTTTTATCACCTACCTACTTAAGTTCTGAAGACAGGAAACATAATTTTCTATAGGAAAGAACCTAAAGAGGAAGTTACCAGTTACAGCTTTTTGATTTGGTTTTGTTCTACTTTTGTTTTTATTTTTTATTTAATTTAGTTTTATAAACATTTACATGTCATTTATTAGCTTGCTCCCTAATTATTAATTACTAACACAAGAGATTAGCCTAGTCTTATGTTCCCAGAGATTAAAAAGAGCAACTTAGCCTGAATTTTAGCCCAAGACCAACTCATTTTTGAAAACCTAGTTCGTATCTCAACTCTGACTACTCCCATACTCAGCCTACAGTGAAAGACCCTTCTTTTGAGATTCTCTACCACTTTTTATCAAAATCGCAACTTTGTTGGTTTCTGAGAATATTTCTTCTTGTTTTATCAGAGATCTTTTTAACTTTGTGTCTTAACTCTCTGTCTAGATGGCATTCCTTGAGGAAAGAGGTTACTTTGCAAGGCTATATATATATATTTTTTTTTTGTAGTTTGAGGTTTCTATGTGACATTCAGTTGGAGATGTCAAATACGAATTTGGTTATATAGGTCTGAAACGTGGGTCAGGTCATTTGCTCATAGGTGATAGCTGAAATCATGACTGGCCAAGATTCTCGAATAGATGTGTAATAGCATAACAACAGAAAAGGACAGACTTTGGCCACACATATATTCCCCTCTCCCATATTTGCTCCTCCCAACAGCCTCAATAGGCAGGAGTCCCAGAAACCACCCACCCTTTTTTTTTTTTTAATATTTTAAATTTTATTTTTGTTTAAAATGTTACAAATGTCCCTTTTTCTCCCCAATGACCCGTTCCACCCCGTCTCTTCCCCCTCCCCAGTCCCTCTCCTCACCATTGTCCCTGTCTTTGGGTTGTGCATATCTGCATATAAATTCCTTGGATACTCTCTCCCTCTCCACCCAACCACCCTCCTCCATCCTTCTGACATTCATCAGTCTCATCTATGCTTCCATGTCATTGAATCTATTCATCAGTTTATTAAGTTCTTTAGATTCCACGTATAAGCGAGATCAAGTGATGTTTCTCTTTCCCTGCCTGGCTTATTTCACTTAGCATAATTTTCTCCAGGTCCATCCATACTGTCCCAGAG